ATATATATATATATACACACACATGAATAATTCATATTTCCATTTTAAAAAATCCACTCTGAAGCAGAATTGAAATTCATTTTGTTTTTGAAATACATGCACTCACTGCTCTGAAAAATTCTACAATAGTTTTCATTCATAATTTTATAATGTAATGTTTAACAGATATATGCATTAATAAAATATAATAGAATATAATAATTCCTTGTGCAATTTAAATTCGGGTTCAGAATGGAATTTTTTTCATGGAAATATTCTTTTTTTTTTTTTTCAAATACCTTCGCATTTGAATTTAAATCACTTGTTGTACTGATATGAAACATTCTACGATGTTTGTTACTTCAAATTATTATTGGAAGTTACTATACATTGTTTTTAGTACTTTACAGTGTGATGATATGGTACACGAACAACAAAATATTGTCAATATGAACATATATTTTTAATAAGGCAACAAACTTACCAAGAACCTGTTGTGACTTGCAGGAGTTTGCGGATGCGATATTCCACCTGGTGCGAGAGAAATACACAGAGCTGGCCGGCTGCTCCTCGCTGCTGCATGCGCGTCACAAAGGCCTGGCGGGCATCGTCATGACCAGAGGTATGGCATCATTTCAGTCGGCCTGTGAATTATTTAAGAAGTTCAATAAGGGTAGAGAAAGCACCTCTAAGTCTCTGTGTGTCCTCTGAGTGTGGAGCTTTGGATGAAATATTTAGTACTTTATCACCTGTGAAAAAGCAACAGACAAAGATGCACATATATCAGAATGGAGTCAAAGAGCAGATGAAGAATAGACTAAAATGATTTACAGGCAATGAAGTCTTGGTTTTTATTCTTTAGAACAATATTAAAGGTGATGGGTTCAATATTTCCAGATGCTAAAATACTTTCCCTTATCCCAGATTGATATTCAGCGTGAACTGTTAGTCATTCATAGGCTGATTCCCCTGAAAGGTGTGAACACTTTGTATCTGTGGTGCAATCAAAACAATGTTATAAGCATCCAACCATCCTGACATAGCAACCGCTCAACCAATGACATGGGTTTGGGGTCTGTGAATCTGACCAATGGGAGATAAGGGAAAGTGTTTGGGAAACCTGTTTATAAACAGTCATTTTTAAACAAATCAAATTTGATTTCATTGCCATGACTGTGAAAAACTCACTTTAACTAGTGTGTTGCTATTTGGTTGCTAGGGTGGTTGAAAAGGCATTGGTAGGTGGTGTTTTGAGTGGGTTTTTTTTTTGTTTTGTTTGGTTGTTTTTTTTTTTTTAACAGAAGAAAATCACGATCACATGATTTTGGGTATTATTCAGTCCATAGAACAAAATGGTGACAAAAGTCACATGCCAAAGTCTAATATTTAGTAAGGGCTTGGAAAAGTAATGCTAATTTCTGTGATCATGTGACATTTACTATAATGGGTTTATGTGAATATCATTTTAAATTTATTTAAATAAAAATTTGTTAATGTTCTGTAATTGGTGATATATGATAGATAGAATTAATATAATTTCAGTAATTCTGTAATGTTGAATGGCTATAATTATAAATGATCTTATTAAAAGAGGCATTTACTTAGAAAAAAAGATGCAATTAAACAAATATTTAAAATACAAATTTAAAATACCCACATGAATTTGGAGATATAGTTCAAATTTTTTACAATTTATTACAATTTTTAATGTTTCGTGCCATTAAATATGATTAATTGCATAAATTTGTGCAATTAATTACCTTGTAATTGAGGCCCTGTCCACACGAACGTGGGTATTTTCAAAACCGCAGTTTTTTTCTACGCGGTTTGGCCATTCATCCACACGCAAGCGCAGCACCAGGTCACTGAAACCGAAAATTTTTGAAAACGCCTGCCAGGGTGAAAATTTTCAAAAACTCCGGTTGCAGTGTTGTCGTGTAGACAGTGAAACCAGAGTTTTTGGCTTGTGACGTCGGAGCATGCGCTGTTATCTCCGCCTACTGGAAACTTTTTCAGGCTTCTGATTGGCCAACATGGCTTTACGGTTGAGATTATATCGCCACCTGTTGGCTTGGCATGCTCTTGACAGTGCTTCATAGCATGCTTTTGCGTTTTCATGTGGACGGAGATTTTTTTTAACATGGAAGAAGGAAAAACTACCCGTGTACGTGTGGACATGGCCTTACTTGTTTTGTTAATAGATCAATAGGCATAACATTAAGGGTTAGGGGTTTGTTTAAATAGAATAAATAAAATAGGCTAAATAAATAAAAACGAATATATATAATTACTAAACCTTTAACTAAAATTAAAATGAAAACCAAGCGTATTAATGCTATTAATAGTATATCTCTATTAAAAGTATCTCAGTGATAAGATGCTGCTTCAAATCACGAACGCAATGCAATACAAAAATAATAGGGATACTTGCACTATCCATATTTATTGGCGTATTGCTACTAAAATATACAGTATATCCCACGATTATGAATTACAACAGCTCAGTTGCCGTGATGGTTGATATGATGTTTCAGTGTGTTTGTGTAAGACCCAGCTGCAGGCTTTCAGGAGTCATTGCAGGATCAGTATCAAGTTTTTCTTTTGAAGACCACAGCTCATCAATTTAGACTTTAGTGATATCTGACCTAATCCCTGTCCTCGCTGCTCTGTCTCGCTCTCCTTCTCTCCTTCCCGCTCTGTCTGCCTCACAGTAATTGCGGAGGATGTTTATTAAGACTGTTATCTTCAAAGATCCAGACATCGGTGCCCAAGATTTTGTGGCAGGCGAGCAGATACGCAAACTTGACAGAAACACTGGGGGTTCTGTTCACTGCTCTTTGAGCATCTATTGAATCTTTTAGACTGGTACGGGCACCGGTGGAATATTAATGCGGGTCCAACTTTGAACTGCGGGACTTTCGCAGAGGGAGTTGTAACCTGAGCGAGAGTGCTCCTCACAGGACTCTTATTGGATTATTTCATCTGCTAACGTAAAGGAAACAGACACTGCTTGAATCAGATGGTGTGAATAATCTTATTTCAACCAGGCACGGTACGGATGCTGGGATTTGGGTTTTGAACATCAGATGCACGGTTGAAGGGCTGGTAAAGGGAACCAGACGTGTCTGCTTCTATATTTGGAGAACAGATGATTGTGTTTAGAGCAACTGGGAAGTGGAAAGACAGATTCCTGTGGTGGAAAATGCAAGATATTTAGGCTCTCTGACCCTCCCATAGACAGCAAGGTAACTACCACGTTCAAGGTCCAGAAAAGCAAAGAAACAAAAATAACAACTTTATTCCACATTTTCGTCTCTACTCTCACTTTGGACGCGCGTTCACGACAGTACCATGACGCGAGTATGTGGCGGGGCCGGCGCTGACCCAGATCCGGCGTGATGACATCATTACGCCGAAACTGGGTCAGCACCGCTACACGCTCGCGTCATGGTACTGTCGTGAACGCGCGTCCAAAGTGAGAGTAGAGACGAAAATGTGGAATAAAGTCGTTATTTTTGTTTTCTTTGCACTAAAAAGTATTCTCGTAGCTTGGTAACTTTACAGTTGAACCACTGATGTCACACAGACTAATTTGTCTATCATCTTGGTACTTTTCTGGACCTTGAACCTGGTAGTTACTTTGCTGTCTATGGGAGGGTCAGAGAGCCCTCAGATTTCATCAAAAATATCTTTTTGGGTGAACTAACCTGTTAAATTCAACCAGGTTCTGAAAAGTTTTATTCTGAAGATGAGGTTATGTATACATCAATTACTCCCTATTCAGCATTTGCCAATTCAGAAATCACAGTTGCTTTTCACAGATATTCATGTATTGAACTGTTTATAAATAAATGAATGAATGAATGCATGAATGAATTAATAAACGTTGTTTCAAATAAGTGTCCGTGCTGCCTTTGAATTTTAAGTTTAGTCAAAATGAAATGTTAAATTGTAGGAAGTGTCTACTTGGATATTTGAGTTGACTAAACTTAAAGGGATAGTTCACCCAAAAAATGAAAATTCTGTCATTAATTACTCACCCTCATGTCGCTCCAAACCCGTAAGACCTTTGTTCATCTTCGGAACAGAAATTAAGATATTTGTGATGAAATCCGAGAGCTCTCTGACCCTCCAGACAGCAAGGGTCCTACCATGTTCAAGGTCCAGAAACGTACCAAGAACAAAATAGTCCATGTCACATCAGTGGTTCAGCCGTAATTTTATGAAGCAATGAGAATACTTTTTGTGCGCAAATAAAAATAAAATAAAATTGTGTTCCGCATGAATGAATTAATAAACGTTGTTTCAAATAAGTGTCCGTGCTGCCTTTGAATTTTAAGTTTAGTCAAAATGAAATGTTAAATTGTAGGAAGTGTCTACTTGGATATTTGAGTTGACTAAACTTAAAGGGATAGTTCACCCAAAAAATGAAAATTCTGTCATTAATTACTCACCCTCATGTCGCTCCAAACCCGTAAGACCTTTGTTCATCTTCGGAACAGAAATTAAGATATTTGTGATGAAATCCGAGAGCTCTCTGACCCTCCAGACAGCAAGGGTCCTACCATGTTCAAGGTCCAGAAACGTACCAAGAACAAAATAGTCCATGTCACATCAGTGGTTCAACCGTAATTTTATGAAGCAATTAGAATACTTTTTGTGCGCAAATAAAAATAAAATAAAATTGTGTTCCGAAGATGAACAAAGGTCTTATGGGTTTGGAACGACATGAGGATGAGTAATTATTTTTTACATTTTTCATCAAAAATTTAAGGCAAGCTAAACACTTACTTTTTAAGTTGAAACATTTATTTATTTATTTATTTTTTATTTAATTTAATTGAATTTATTTTGTATATACAGTTAACTACAGCTAAAAGCATTCAAAAGCAATTTCCTTACTTAAATAATAACTGAAATAAAATAAAAAATAATATATAAATGGCAAAAAACACACAACAGACTAAAGCTTACTAAAACTTTAACTAAAATTAGAATTAGAATATATAGTCATACATATATATGTTGGAACATGGAAGAATAATATGAAACCATAATGTGGTCAACTATTATAGAAAATTAGCACATTTAACTGTTTGTCAACAAGTAAGATTCAATATTTGACAGTGATAATAGTTATTTAGAGTCTTTTTGTAGATGAAGCTCATTCTCTAAGCATATAATTTTATATAAGCGTGCCAAATCTGCGCAAAGGTTTCCATTTCGGTAGGAATTATCTCTGGAACACACGTAGTAAATGGTGATGATGTGCACCGCTTTGACCTTATTTAATATTCAAACATTTTATCATGCAAGACCAACTTGTAAAGGATCAATTCATGAGCCTCTTTATTCCTAATGGCATGTAAATGACTTGGTAGACGATGACCTCGGCCATTTGCTTTACCCCTAAAGAAAATAAGTTTAATGCAAATTCATCCATTTTCTGAAATAATCGCTTTCTGCGCCTTTTTTTTTTTTTTACCAAAATACACTGTGTCCTTTCTAGCCAATCCAATATGGACTTTCCTAGACCTCTCAAAGCAGAGGATGCATAAAACCCCATCTAATGATTCCTTATGATTTGATGGCCTCATAAAGGAGCTGATGAACTGCATTCTT